CTGAGTAACCCGAGGGGCAAGAGAGGCTTCCAGGAGGGCGGTGGCAAAGGCCTTGGGTGCAGCCAGCCCGGGTGGGTTATTAATTGCTCTGAGTTGCAGTTCTTTACCTTAGGATGGGAGTTCTAATGATAATCAGCACTTACTGAGTATTCGCTCTGTGCCAGGCACTTTTCTAAACGCCTTACACAGATTGACTCGTTTATGCCCCACGGGGGCTCTCAGAGAGTGCCACTGTTATCCCCATTTTACAGAGGTGGAAACCGAGGCACACAGAGGATAAGGACTTGCCAGGGTCTCTAGCTAGTAAGCAGCAGAGCCGGGCCATGAACCCCATGTTCTCAGCCATTCCATCGAGATGCCTCGTGAGGCCTCCCTGCCGTGTCGTTGCCGTGGACCACGTGCTTGGTGTGTTTCTGTGTGTGTTAGTTTCCCCAGGAGCTCTCGGGTCCTCTGGCCTTGTGTTACCTGCTCCCTACATGCCTGCGCGTGGCTGGAGCCAGAGTCTGGGCTCATGGCTTGTCAGTCACGCAGTGCGGTTCTGGGCACATTAATAGGCACTGCCTGGAATGTGGCTCTGCGGTGCCAGCCACTCGGCGTTGATGACCATTTTAACACCCACCTGCCGACTGTCACTCATTCCCCACCGAATGCAGCCTCCCCTGGCTCATTGAAGCCCCCCGCCAGGGCTGCACCTCCTGCGCCATTTGGAACTGGGTACTGGGGCTTTGTGGAGCCCTGATCGCTCTTTGTAGAAGCAGGCACCATCGGGGGAGGAGAGAAGGGGGAGGGAGCGCTGCTTTAGTTTTTCAAAATATAATGATCCCAGTAATTGAGACGCCGAATTGCACATTTAAATTGCTTGAAAGTAAAAATATCGTTTTGTAATGCTGGTGTTAATAATGTAAACATTAAAAAGGAATTAAATACTTAGCTGTATTGTGGGGCACGATTGCCTGATTTTTCTTCTTTCAGCTCGTTCAACCGGAGGAAATGATTGGCTGCAATACCAGATATGTTACCATAAAAAGTGGGTCTGGACTTGCATTGCTGCAGTTTGTCATTTAATGTCCCCATGTAAAGGCAGCCAGAAGGGTCACACGGGCAGTAGATTGCTGCCTTATTCTGGAGATGAGCTTTTTTCAAGATGTGCAGGCCTGCCTCCCTTCACTCTGCTCTCTGGTCGCTGTCACCTTAGCGGGGCCTTCCCAACCTCAGACACCCCCCCCCCCCCCCCCCCCGCTAAAGTAGCAGCCCCATCACTTTTGGTCCCCTTTTGCCTTAAAGCACTATCACTGTTTGACAGTAGGGCCTGGCGCACAGTAGTCCCTCACTCAGTGAATCTGAACAAACCAGACAACATTAGAACACAAGCCCAGGTCTCCTCCCCTACCTGTTCCCACCCCCATCCCTGCCCATGTAAGATGCCCACCCTTAGGGGGTTGAGGGAGAAGGGTGAAGGGCGAATCAGGAGCAGGTAGGTTTCTGGATTTTGCTCTTGGATTCGCTCTCACACTCCCTGTCCCATTTCAGGGCAGCTTAGTCACAGAAGGGAGAAGTTGGGAACAATGCATAATGAAAAGCACCCAACCTGGCTGCAAGTCAGCCTGCCTGGCTGCTGCTCAACTTGGTATTGTCCCAGAGCTGCTTTTTTTCCCTCCCTCCCTCCCCTCTAATTCTTGGCACCCACACCTCCATTTTCACTCTTTCCCTCATCTTCTGTTTTATGTTTTTGGCCACAGAGGATGCAGATTTAAATCAAAAGTCAGAAGTTTAGATCATTTTGAAGAGCTGCTGATGAGTGATCTCGCCTTGCCATTTGTTTTATTATGCCGCTTCCTGCCCTTTCCAGCGTGGTCTGAAAGGCTCCACGCGGCTGGGAAGAGTGATGGGGCTGCCAGGGTGCTGCCCAGAGGCCCAGGCCTTCCTGATGACATTGCATTATGAAAAAGCTATAATGATATTCTGCTCTTTAGCTTCCTCTTCAATCACACAGGGGACACCAGGGGACAGAGGTGGGGCTGAGTCACTGTCCCCCAGGCTGCCCTTGTCCCCCCTGCCACTGGGGTGGAGGTCAGGAGCAGGTTGCTCTTCCATATCACCTGTCTTGAGGACCAAGTTAGAGTTCCTGTGGGCCAAATGAGCAAACTGGGGCAGGCAACATGCTAAGCAAATCTACCAGCACTCTGGGCACACTCAGTGTATGAGGACGTGGCTAGGGGAAGGAGCTAGATGAGAACCTACAGTTCTGGCACTGCTAGGCCCCTGCTGTCCCCTCGCGCCCCCACTTGTTCTTTATGTCTCTATTTCTACCTCCTTAAGCCAGGTATCAATTTGACATGAGGATTATGGAGAAAGAGGTTATAGTAGAGACCGGCTAGGTTCTCATCAAACCCATTTCCTCTTCCTAGGCACACAATTAAACCTTTTCTCAGTGCCCTGGCATCCGGGTATGGCCACATGGCTAGTTCTTGCCCATGGAATGTGGGTGTGCCTTCTCCATGCTGTCTGACTTTGAGGCCTTGTGGTTGAAGATGGTGGTGTCACGAGGTGGAAGGAGCCTGGTTCCTGGATGAGTGTGTGGAGCAGAGGCTCTCTGCTGACCACATTAGATTGTAATGTTAAGTGACGGATATTAGGGGATTGTTTGTTACATCAGTTGGCCTACCCTGACTAATACCTGTGTGTTTCTAAGTTCAAAAGAAGAAGAGAGCTCCCCAGTCTAGGATGGGAGGCAAGCCAGGAGGCTCTGACAGTGTTCCAGGCAGCAGGGAGCAGTGGAGTGGAAGGTTCAGGGGTCCTTTCTGGTTCTCATGTCCTGAGGTTTCTCCATTTCTATCTTACTCTCTCTCGCTGTCCCTTGTACAACCTGTACAAGGTTGATTCCCCCTGTGGCCATCACAAGCCACTGCTGTTCCCTGAGCAGAATGCTTGATTCCCCATTCCTGTGCACGTTGATCATTTTCGTGGAATCCCTGCCCATCTTTATCACCTTTCAGACTTGTCTCCCTTTCAGGGCACAGCTCAAACACCCCCTCTGTGATCACTCCACGTGGCAGTGAGTCCTCACTGCCTCTGCTCTGCTGGGTAGCAGTCTGTCTGCATAGCTGAGCCGATGGCCCCCATGCCTTGTTGAAGCACCCATGATATTTTCATGTGAAGGTCTTTACTCTCTCATTAGATCATGAGGTTCTTAAGGATAACGCCATGATCCTCACGTTTCCTTGTTTCCTACACAGGCCCAGGCACTGGGAAAATATTTGTTGGATGGATGAATGGAAGGAAGGAAAGAAGGAAGGAGAGGAGGGAGGGAACCACGGGGAAAGGAAGGAAGGACAGATTAATGAAATCACAAGCAAATGAATGAGCTATTCAGCAGATTGTCAAGTGTCTGCGCCATCTGGCTCACTCCGTTTCCCTGTTCTTCATTTCTACTACTCCCAACGACAAAAACCCTCTTCTGAATGGGTTGGTCTGTCCATAGACTCCTGAGCATGCTGGACTTTTCCCTCCTTCCACTTCCCAACCACTTACCATCTCCCGGCCCCTTCCCCAATCCTGTCACCCTTCAGGGCCCAGATGAAGTCTCACCTCCTCCAACAGTTTCCGTGATGACTCTGCTCTCAGTGAAGCTCTTCAGCCTTAAATTATAGGCCTGATCGTCCGCACTATACAGATTAACCCTCTGTATCATTGGTAACTGACTTGTGTGGTTTGTTGTCAGTTCATGTGTGTTCTTGCTTCCTCCACTAGAATCTAAGCTCCCAAGAGCTGGGTCTTCCACAGCACTTAGCAAAGAGATCAGCACAGAATAGCTGCTCAGGACAAGTACACACTTGCTGTTTGCTGGCTGTCTAGGGTTCCCTCACCCCTGTGGCCGTTTTTAAGTAAACTCAGATTGGAGATCAAATACATACATACATACTCATCATCTTCTCTTCTTTCTATGTCTCTCTGTTCTCTTCCCTCTTCCCAAATTCCCTCTAATTGGGTGGGCTCATTCGGCCAAGTTTCTGAATCTGCAAAGCCTTGTACAAGTTCCAGAGCACGGTGACCCCTTGGAGCCCAGTAGTTTTATATGAACAGTCTAAAACCAGTAGTCAACCTTGTCCCTTACAACAAACTGTACTTTTGTCAGGCACGTCTTCAAGAGGAGATGGGAATTCCAGCTGGGCCTTAAATGATTTCTAGAGGAGGAAGAAGGCCTCATTTGTGAAGCGCACCGTCGGGTAAAGGAGTGCCGAGAGAGGGGCCTCACATGGGCAGGAATAAGGATCCAGCCCACGGAGAGTGGCTGTGGCACAGTTAGTGACATGGGTGGCCAGCCCTAAAAGCTGAGGATTCCCACCCCATCCTCAGACGGGTCCCACAACACCCAGGGCTGAGAGGGGGGGAGGAATCAGAAGCTAAGCCAGGGAGCTTTGGACTTGGTTGATGTGGTACCAGATTCTCAAGGAAGTGGCCTAGAAAAAGCAGTATTTAGGGCTCCCTTCTGCCATCAGCAAATACTTAGTTTTCAGCTGACTCCCTTTTGCCACTCAACATGCTTTGACTCAACTCTCCCACCATGGACACAGAGCATGCAAATTAATCACGTCATTTCCTCGGCCAAACATAATTAGAGAGGTTAACGTGCTTTGAAATCCATATAATGTATCCCAAAACTAAACAAAAGTTTTTTATTATCCAGGCCACTCTTTCCTTCTGTTAGTGCAGATCTTGGAAAGTTGATGGTAATTAGCTATGAGAATCCAGAAAATATTTAATTTTGCATTGTATAAGCTTCCAGCGAAGGGAGCCTTTCTTCTCAGGGCTGGGGCCTGCCTTGCCAATACATGCATATATTTTGTTAGCCACCACTTCCCTCCCAGGCTCCCTGAAGGATTGCAGGAAATTGGTGAACTGTTCTTGCTGTGTACTCTAGTCACTCATAAATTTAAACTACTGTACAGTGTGATGATCAGAATGAATAAACAGGAAGGGTAATAAGGCACACCAAAGAATCACTGGTGACCTCAGCAATTTTATTAACAAATTTATTTCCCTAATTGGGTAACGTATCTCTGTGCTTGACTCAAGGGCATCGTAATAGGTTTCCACACCGCAGAAGATGGAATTAATTAGAACTTTGCTCTTTGTTCCGTATTTACACTTGTCCACCAGTCTTGTAAACATCACGCCTGGTTTCCTCCAGGCTCCTCACTTCTGACCCCCCTCCCAACCCCCAAAATAAATAAATAGTAAGCCTAAGCTGAGAGTGTAGTGTAACTTCAGTGGCTTCTCCTTATGCGCAGTCCACCGCCACTGGAAGCTGCATTTCATGGTCAGGGCCATTTTGTGGTCAGAATCTGGCAGAATCATCACTTCCAGCAGGTACCTGGAAGTCTGTAAAGGGGCAAGACCCTTCTCTCCACAGGCAAAAGTGGAGAACCCGTGCTCTCGGCCTGCCAGCGCCGTGTGTGGGGTGGTCCTTGTCCATTCAGAACCTGGGTACACAGCTGATGAGATGGGCAGATCTGCCCACTGCGTGCTGCCCCGCCTCCAGGGCCTCTCAGGAAGGGAAGAGATTCATTAGCTCCGTGTGCCCTTGGATGGGCAGCCCATGCAGGCAGACAACCATGAACTCGTGAACTCATTCTTCAAGGCTTCTTCAAGTAAGGTTTCTCACAGCTTGTGAGAACTGCCGCATGACAAGAAAGCATTTTTAAATGCAAATACCTCAGAATCTCGCTGTAATGCTGGCCTCCAACTCATATTGCACCCTCCACTGTCCTCCAAGATGGTCCCATTTTGTACTGACTGTCCAGCCTGCGATGACCAGCATTAGCCAAGATGCCAGGGTACGTGGAATTACCTCTAGAGCTGGTTTCTTTAGCAGCTGTTAACATAGCCTGCCATGTAAAGAGATGGCTTCTGAATGTAGATATAGTTATTACAAAGACATCTAAGGGTTGTCTAGACTATCTTAGCTACCAATAGGTCCCTTTTAAGATCTATACTCCAGAAAAATCTGGCTGGGCTCACCAAGTCTTATTCTCCCTCCTGGATATCCTGCAGGATCTGGATGAGGTTTTCCAGACCAAAAATATAGCCTGGATCTGGTCCCTCGTAGGTGGTGTGCTCGTTCTGGGAGCCCTTGTATGTCGTGTGAGCAAAGTCAATCATCCGGATGTCAACCTTGGCGACACAGCAGGAAGAGCTGCCATGGGCTGTCTCCAGAACCTTCTGAGGGTGCAGGCCGTCCGGGGCTCTTTCCGCCGGCTCCTGCGCATCGTAGATGATGAGGAGAGAGCTGGAGTAGAACCGGTATGAACTCTGGCTCCTAATGACCAAGAGAAGGGCCTGGAGCTGGCGCCGGATGGGCTCCAGGAGCTCTGTCCGGAGGCGCGTGCCGTCGTGCAGGAACTGACAGAGCCCTTGTCTGAAGCCCTCGACTGAGAGTTTTCGTCCATAGTACTTGTCTTTGCAGAGAAAGTGCCTCTTATCAACTTGATAAACCTTACATTACCAAGAAAAAGGAGGAAATGTGAAGAACTGCACACTTTAAGAAAAATTGCCTTTGCTGCCGTTACAGCGTCGCAAGCTAACATAATATATAAACAGAATTCTAGGAGACACAGAGCACGAATGGCTGAAATGAACAGAAAGACCATCTTTCTTCCAGCACCAGCATAGCTTTTACATTTTAAAATGCTCTCTGTGCGAGCCTTTAATAGAAACCCGAGCTCTGAAGATCCTTCGCCCTACAGAGGTGACCCTCCACCCACGAGGAAAAGGTTTGGATGGCCTTTCTTGTGAATTTCCAATGTCCACCTCCAAATCATGATTTAAACCCTGGCTTCTGGCCCTCTTCAGTTCAAATATTAGCAAACCCAAGCTACAAAGCTTTAGTAGGAATCTGAAATCACAGCCAATGGCCTTGGAAAGCCAACTCGATTAAATTTTCCCCAACAAAGTTTGTAAAGTCCTTTCTCTGCAGATTCTAAGGATATAGTAATGGCTCTTGGGGTGGAGTGGGGTGAATAGTTTGAAAATAAAACACAGGCTAGGTCAGGTGTGGACAGTTTTCAGGCAGCCAGTGCAGCTGAGGGGAGCCTGGATGGAGCAAGGCGGTCCACGCAGCTCTGTGGGGCTGGTGGCTCCTCTCCTTGGCACCGGCTCCTCTCCCCTCTCCTGTCATGTCTTGGCCACCAGAAGGGAGCAGATGGAGAAGAGATGCTGATGGGGGAGATAGTGGCAGCCACCCCCATTTCATTCAGATGGCACAGGCAAGAGCAGAGGCTGATATGAGGCCAGCGGTTGGCATGGCCAAAGGGTGACTTGGCAAGCCTCTGCCTGGCACACCTGGGAAGGGCTGCCCTAAGCCAAGACAGTTTCTCAGGTGTTTCCTGCCTTCAGATTACATGATATGTTTACAGAAAACCAGTGTTGGAAAAAATCAGAAATATATGATAGACTTGCTGTTGCCTTTGGAGGGCCTGAGATCGGCTGCTAAATTAGCCATCATAAATGCATGATAGGCATCACTTTCTAAATAAATCAGATCAATTTCACAAGGTTTGAGGTCCAGAGAAAGATTCCATTTACACCACGAATCATCACACTCCCTTCTCTCGAGAACTGCATTCCAAGCCTTCCAAGGGACATCTGTGCAACAAATTTATAGACTCAACTTCCAGCTTCAAGGGGTGGCAGTTTCAATTAAGGAAAGCTATAACATTTACCGTCAAATCGGTGTCTGGTTTTGCTTTGAGTAGATAGACGGTGAGAGCGAGCGCGTGGAGAAAGTTTATTTCTTCCTGTTCTCCTGCAGTCCCTGCCATAAGCTGCATCAGAGCAGCAAAAATGAAGAGTGGAGTCTGGGCAATGAAAAATTAACCATTCCTTTGCTGAGCTCAGCAGGTTACAACCTCCCCACTTTGTTAACCGGAGCAGGTAGCAAGAAGCAGCAGAAAAGGTGGAGTAAGAAGAGGGAAAGACTAATAAGAATTCAAAGAGCAGACTGCCTCACAGCATCTGAGAAGGAGAGTTCAGCTTTATCGTTCAAGGGACTGAGGAATCCACAGTGTGCGTGGAGAAGTTCCTTCCCTTAGTTCTTTCCCCAGCGCCTGCTCACACACTGTCATCAAAGGTCTGCTCCCAACATGGGCAGGACCCACGTGGCCACTGTGGAAAGTTGCAGCTGCCAAAGACCCTGAGACCCAGTTAAAAAATGGTGGGTTTCTGACACCGCTACCCTGAAAGGTGCTCTTCAAAAAACCTAGCGTGTCGTAGACCAGGATATGCATGTCCCTGCTGGAAGGCTGTGCCTGGCCTCCTCCTCTGTTGCTCCCCCAAAGCGAAGGGCTCTCTGGGGGCAGTGATGTCTGGATGGGAGACATCCTTGCCCCACAGCGGACATGCCAGGATGCCCAGCCCTGCAGTGGGCCCCTGCCACCTACCTGCATGCCACAGATGCGCACGCCCAGGCAGGCCGACGTGCTCTGCGCACACTTCCTCATGTGGCGGGCCTTCTTTTCCTCGGACACGTCATCCCCATGCTGCCGGGTCCCCATTTTTAGGTCCAGGATACAGGGATGCTTGTACTGTGACACGACGTTTTCCAGCAGCAAGAACCCTAGTCACACCAAGTTAAGGAAGGCTCCGAGGACATCAAGGCCGCTGCCCCCGAGATGCAGTTGGCAGCCTCCAAAGCTGGCTGGGGATCCCTACTCTGAGCTCCCTTCCTTCTCTCCTGTTTCTTTCATTGCAGACAAGCCGGTCACTATTAAGAATTCAAGGTATTAGCTTTGCAGGCTGCTTTAATATTTCCATTTATTTAGGAGGAGTTGAGTATGTGAGCTTCTTTTCCTTTTTGCTCTGAGGTTGAAATTTAAATGCAGGCGTGAAATCCCTGTCAGGCCATGCCCAATTTACATTTTATGGCAGAAAATCATAAGGCTAAAATCTCAAGTCATTGAATGGGCCAATACCTTTTGGGAGAAGTGGGTTGATGTTAGCTTCGGAGATGAGTTGCAGGAATATTAATTTCAGCGGAGTAATTATCCTGCAAAAGCTTCTTAGGGATTAGGCTTGCAGATGCGTCTCAGTAAATACTGTGAAACCAGCCGCCCGTTTGCAGGAAGGAGCCCAGCGGTGACAAAGGGGCATTTCAAGCCTAAATGTGCTCATTGAGAATGTGGCAGCCTGGAGGGGAAAGGGGGGTGCTTCCCCTGAGAGCCCACCCCACGGCACTTCCTTCAGGGAGGAGCCACTCCCCCTCCCCCATCAGCTCCATGGGAAGAGTCTGAGGGGAGAATTTGGAGGGACAGAAAGGAGGTTGGGGGTGTGGGGACCCACCTAGCCCTCAGAGGCTGCTGCTGCCCCACCCAGCGTGGCAGTCCTCATTCCTCTCTGCCCATGGAGACCCCCAGCCCAGCCCATCCGTACTGTCCAGGTGGCAGAGACACAGCTAGTGGCCCGGCTAGGGTTCAGCTTGATTCCCAATCTGACTTGCCCATACTCTCTGAGTTTTCTTCTAGAGAGATCTGATTTCCTCTAGGTCCCAGGTTTGAGGGCTTGTGCCCTGCACGGTGGGGAGGGCTGGCAAGGATACGGTGCCGCTTGTTCTCTGGGTACTCGGTGCACAGGCGGGTCAGGTGGGCCTGGTGGCAGTAGAGGCCCCACGGGTTAAAGCTCCTCCTCTCAGCCTGGTTCCTGTTGGCATCTTCCACCAGCGAGGAGACCTGGGCGTTGAGGTGGAACTCGGACCTCAGGAGCGCTGTGGCTGGGCTGCAGGTGAGGGAAGCAGATGACAGGGCAGCCGTGGGCAGAGGTCTGGAGAAAGGTGCCCGTCCCTGTGACTGACTGGGGTCTCCTGGGTTGGACTCTGACATGGACTGTCCCTGACTACACTTGAGGATGCCTGCAGGGGACCCACTCAGGCCCCGGGCCCTAGATCAGGCCATAGGGCAGCCCTGGTGGGGAGTTTCTCTAACCCAGAGCAGCTCATCAGAGCGCTCACCTCCTCAAGGGCTGAGGGGTTAAATTCACTGGTAAGTGATCTGATTATCATGTCATCTCACTACGGGTGTGGGAGGCAACACCGTGTGGGGGCAGCGACCCCCCCTGGAATCAGAAGCCCGGGGCTTTAGGCTGTTACTGCAGCTTGTGGTTATCTCCTCAAGGCCTCGAAATGCCACGGGGCGTAGGCATCACGGGTCCTCGGTCCACCCCCTCTCCTGCCTCTGTGTCTCAGCTTTCCCGTCTGTGAAATGGAGGTAATGTTCACCCGCTGCCTGACACCGAGCCAAGAGACTTAATTAGATCCACTGTGCTCCTTGGGGAAGGGAGGTGCGTTCATTGTATTAGCTCCCTTTTGTTTCCCATAAATGTTTTAAAAGTCCGCAGGGATCCTTTTCATCTGAGAAAGGTCAGCTAACAATATCAGAGGTTTTGGAGACCTTTCGGAGGGCCCCGGGTACCCTGAGCCACCTGAGTCTCCAAAGCCCCCCCGAGGGCTGTATTGACCTCTCTCCTCGTCCCATCCCAACCGCTAAGGAAAGATGATTTCTGAGAGACATTAGCCATTTTCCTCTATGTCAACTACTCTGGGGTTTTTGCTCTGCACATTTTTCCCCCAGAGGCACTTTATGGTCTCAGTGAAACTGGTATTTAATTAAACAAATATGTACCGAATGCCTGCTCTGTATAGGATTCTGCGTGTGCATCAACTTCCCAGATGCAATGCCTCGAATCCTCCCTCTAGAAGTGGCGTGAAGGAAAATTCATTCCTTTCTTTGGTCACATTGGTTATTCTAGACAGAGCCTTCATCTGAATTTCTCATTTTCTCAGCTCCGGCCCTAAAGGGGAGCAGTCAGCCTTGGCACAGGTGGGAGCCGTGCTGGTCCCTGCTAGGGACGAGCCGCTCGGTTTCTGTCATCCTGCCAAGTGGCCCTCACCTCTCCTTGAGCGAATGTGCCAGCTGGGCATGCTGCCACTCGGCAAGGGGGCGGGCGCCGCCACTGCCACCGGTGGTCTGCTGGAGCGTCTGCCATATCGCCACTGCCGCTGACTCCGTGGAGACCTTGAAGGGCCCCCGGTTCTCCTTCAGTGGGTTGGCAACCAGCCTGAGGTGGCCGAGGCTGTCTTTCCGGAGGTGCACGGTGATGGTGCCTGCAGAGCACACGAGAGGGAGGGAGAAACCAGATGGAATTTACCTGAGTGGACACATGGGAGTGGGTGACGTCCCTTTGAATTGTAGTTTGATGGCGCTGGTCAGCCTCCCCCCTTCCCCAGCTCTTCTTTCAAGGAAGAGCTCTGGGGACTGGCCCGGTTTAGCCTGAACCTGATCCTGTTCCAGAATGATCCTACAGCGGGGAGCCTGCAGAAAGTAGCCTTGGGCCGATCTTGGCACAGCCTCTGCCTCGTGGCACTTCTCTGCCCCTTCCTACTTTACACAAAGCCAGGCCTGTGCATTTTGTTCTCCATTCCGGCTCCTGTGTACAGTCACCCCTTCCCAGTCACACACAGCCGCCCCAACTGGGCCTCCCCTGGGGGCAGCAGAGCTGGTCCTCTGCAAGGGGGACCCCCTCCTCAGCGTGGCAGTGAGGGAAGTTGGGGCCCACCCCATTCCTTCCCCTGCTCCTTCGCCTCCTTCGCCATCCTTTCTCTCCCCCCCATTTATCTGTATCTGACCCGCTTCTTCCAGGAAGCCCTCCTCAGACAGCCTTCTGGGCTCAGGACTCTCTGTTGCCCCTGCATTCACCCTCCCCGTCTCTGGCTTTAATACTGGTGCTCGCCATTTCCTTTGGTTAGACGCACAGCACGTGAAGATTATTGGAGGAACATGGTTCTTTATTATAAAACAGACGACTGGTGAGATTTCTCCAGCTAACAGTGCCTCCTCACCAACGGTGTCTGTAATAGAGGCACCACGACATCCTGCTCCAATTGTGCAAGTGAAGAGTGAGAGGAAACCCAACGAGCAAGTGTGCTAATGGGGCTTCTCCTGCGGGACGTGGGCCAGGTTGGTAATGAGCTCTGGCACGTGCACTAACGGCTCTTCAGTCACCCCCTTTGGATCTCTCACTTGGGTGGAGAGTCCAGGCCTTCCGCTGTGGGGCTTGGCATCCAGTGGGTGCCCAGCCTCGCCAGAGCTCTGGTGAAGAGGGACCGATACTCTTGTTGGTGGCACCAGAGACAGCTGCACAGATGCTTTTTCAAGAACTGGATCTCTAGGTGTCCGGTTCCCTGTTCTTTCTGCAGCTCAATGCCGTTGTGGTTCTCTGTTGCTCTGTCCCCACTAACCTGCCCTCGCCGTCTCCAGCCTGCCTTGTGCCTGAGAGGCTGGCTCTACCGTCACCAAGGCTTCCTTGGCCCTGGTTTCCAGTGGATTTGGCCACTGAGGACCACTGGCAGGAGATGGTGGGGAGAGGGAAAAGGTGAGGTATTTATCCCACTGGTTCCTTCCCTGCTGTAGCGTGGCTCTGCCATGGCCATGTTCCCCTGTGGCCTCCCTCTTGCTGGGTCAGTTACACCATCCCCTCGCTGTGGCCCCTCAGGCCCTGGGGGGCTTACAGCCCTCCAGTGGTGCTGGTGCCTGCGTACCTCACCATCCCCGGTGGTTGTATTAATCCTGCATGCACTTCTGCAAATAGTCCCTCTAAACCTCTTCATTGAAACCCCTCTGAATGTCCCACTCATTTTCTCTGGGACCTAACAGAGAGGGTAGGTTGCATGTGATCATGTTCCCCAAGGTATTTATTTCCTCCCCCGCCGCTTGGTCGCCTTCTCAGCGTAAGTGGTCATTTCTGCTGAGGCAGCAGTCCGGGTAGCTGACCTGCCACGTGCGTCCTGCCGGGCCCTCCTGGGCTGGGCAGTACAGACACTCATTTTCAGAGCTGCTCTATAATTCAGCAAGTCGCTCTTCGGGGCCGTCTGTGCCTAGCTCAGCGGTCTCCTCAGGCTAGTCCTGTCATCTCAGATTCCAAGTGCCCCAATTTTGCAGCCCGAGAGTGACATTTAGTTCTCTCCAGCTCCGGAAAAAACTCCGCTTTTCCTCAGCTCATCCCAGGCCCCTGTGTCCGGTGAAGCAGTAATGACACTAACCGTGCTGCTGCCCCTGAGCCTGGCATTTGTAGCGTACCTGAGCCCCGGCATGCACTGCTACACCCAGCCCCCAGCCGTCCTGCTCATGAGAGGGGGCGCAGGCGGCAGTCGGGGAAGTAACCACACAGTGATCCTCACTGCCATGTCCTTTAGACCTACTGTGTGCCCGCACTGTCTGCTTTCCATTTGTCATCACTCAGTTATAGCAAATCTGTGAGGCCGCTGAGTTTGGTCACGGGGGCTCAGAGAGACTGAATGACTTGTCTGAGGTCACACAGGTGGTCAGGGGCGGAGCCCTGAGAAGGCCACACCAGACGTCGATGTGGAAGAAGGAACAGCTGTCACCCGAGGCCAAGGACTTTATTGGGAGACTCTGGTGTCGTCACACCGTGTTTACCGAGGTGTGGATGAGGAACACTCCTGCTGTGTCCCCAGCCACATTTGTTCCGGTCATTCTGTTCCGTGGGTGGAACAGAAGCCGTGATCCCACCACCTCGTGAGAGAGCATCAGTGAAGAGGGCTGGGAGCTCCTAGAAACCCAAGGACGTGGCATTTACATTTCCAGCCCTGTGTCCTCAGGCAGGGGCGTCGCTGTGCTTGTTCCAGTGAGGAGGGCTGACCTGGAAACCACCTGGGGAGCTCAGAGCACAACCCCCACACCCCTCCCCGCAGACACTGGGAAGGTGCCAGCCAAGGGCAAGGCCTTTCGGATCTTGTAAAGTTCAGGTTACCATGCGGCGGCCCCCCGGCCTTTCCCGTTTGTGAGGCTATGGTGACAGGCCTCCCAGAAACCACAGTCTTGGGGAGCCCCAGGCCCAGGAGGCCTCCCTGGAGGGACAGGAACTGTGACCTTCACCTGCTGCTCCAGGCTCCAGCTCTTGTCTGATCTCATCAGTTCTGAGTGTCTGAATAAATGGAGTGAGCAGAGGTGCAAATAACCCCAAACCAATAAAATCCAGAGTCATTTCTATTTCTCATATTGTCTCAGCTAGGCAGCCAGACTCCGTGTCGCTGCCTTCTTGCTCCGTCTTCCTGCGTGCCTCTGACTGGCTCTGCGTCTCCATCTATCTGTCTTCCCTCCCTCTCCCACAGCCCTCTACGGCTCAGCCCAGCCTTCCCCTGAAGCCTGGGACCCATGGCAGAGAGCTGCCCTGCGAGCAATCCCCGGTCTCCTGTCCTTGCCAGGAACAGCTTGTCAGTGGAATCCAGACTCCTTGGCTTGGATCATTCTTTTCATCAAGAGCCACGTCGGCCCCGGCCTGGCCTTCTGCCTGCCCTGTGTGTCCGTGGGGACTAGGCCTCGGAGGCCCATGGGCTCCCAGCACTCTGCCGCCCCTGCCTGGCCAGGAGAGCGGGGGCGCAGCCAGAGCCCCTGTCTGCCTGCTCACCAGCCCTCCCCGAGCACCGTGACCTTCCACCATGCCGGCTGGGCAGATAGTAGTGCTGGCTGCCATGATTGACATGCCCAGAGCATCTCAGCAATTTCAATTTGGCCCAGCAACTTCCCCAGCCTCCGTGAATATTCTGTCATGTATTTATTTTTAAGCTCATGAGAGCATTTATTTGCCACCGTCTGTAATATGAATCTGGCTCCTCCGTTAACCAGCTGGACCTAGGAGCATGTCCTTGCTCACCCAAGGCCGACAGGAGAACTGGGAGGCAGAGGGACGCATCCCCAAGACCCTGTCGTGCCCGAGGAGCCCAGCAAAAGGTCCAGGGCAAGCTCCCAGCATAGGGAGGCTGTCCTTGGGAGCGATGTCCCTGCCCAGCACTCCCTGACAGCATCGTGATGTGGGCAGCAAGAGGGGAGAGGGTGTGCTCCGTGGCTTGTGGTGGCCACTTCAGAAACGGCCCCTCTCTTTGGGGCTGTTCCCATCGGGGAGAAAAAGGGAGACCCCTGTGGTGGCCTTATGGGCATTCAAGTCCCACTGACCTGAAGTCACTAGCCTAGTGACCCCAGGCAAGTCACATCGCTTTCCTTGTTGGGTTAGACAAACCCTGGGCACTGGCATCGAAAGAGTCCGCCTCTTCAGTAATGGGAGCCGGTGGAGGGGGCCTTCGTGGGCAGCGTCCACACTGGGAGCCAGACCTCGGGGCTTTGAGTCCTGGCTCTGCCTCTCACTGGCTATGTGGCCTGAAGCAAGTCGGGTAAGCTTTCTGTGCCTCCTCACCTGTGAGATGGGGATGATGGCACCCACCGCAGAGGGCTGTGGAGATTTGGTGAGTTAGTGCAGGAAACTGCTGACAGCGTGTCCGCACTGAGTGAGCACTGAGGGTTGCTCATGTTACTTTTCTTATCTGGGAAACAAGAAGCCTGAGAGCCTGAGGGCCCTTTTAGGAACTCTTTCGCACCTGAAACCTGACCGCAGCTACTGCCCCAGGCGTCTGAAAGCTGAGGGTCTCAGTTCTGGGCCTCTTCTAGTGTCTCTGGAAATGGGCACGTCCTCCGGTGGTGCCTGGCCTGCGGCATTGCGTGGGTCGTGTTCTGGCTGGCGAGCAAGTCAGCGGTTCTGCGTCACTGACACCTCGTGTGGGGCTCACCCCAGCCCGTGCGCTCTGCCGCCCCCTCAGCAGGGCTGCGTGGCCTCACCTGAGGGCTGCCATGCGGTTCCCTGACCCAGCCCCTCCTCAGCCTCTCCTGAGTGGAGTCCCAAGGCAGAGGCTGGAGCGCCCTGTCTCTGTTGATGCATGTAGCTAGGACTCCCTGGCTCAATTCATCTGTCACGTTAGCAGAGCCCCAGGGCTGGTGGAACCGGGGGTGGGCCCAACCGAAGAGGGAAGCAGGGTGGTATAGGGGTCTGGACAGTAGACCAGGGCCCAAGGGCGCCAAGATTGGTGCCACCCTACCCCACAGAGGAGTGGGCACGTGCAGATGGAGCAGGAGGACCCCAGGATGGGGTCCTGGAGACCCATTACCGCTTTCGCTTTCCTGCTTTGCCTGTACTGCCCTGGCAGCCTGTCTCAGCTCCAGAGCCGTGTCAAACAAGCGTGAAACGCTGAGGGCAGGAGGCCACCCCACGCAAGGTCCCACCACCACCTTGCTGGGTCGAGTTCAGTTATGAAAGGACAGACGTTAATTCCACTGGTGCTCAGACAAGATGGGCAGTGACCCACAGACTATGGGCAGCCCAAGCCTGCGGCCCCAGAAGGCCCCACGGGAGGCCTGCACAGTGTGAGCAGGTGTGTGATGCTCATCAGTCTTGTCGCAGACTCTCAGGAGGTCCTGGTAGGACAGGAATGCCCAGGGCTCAAGGCCTTGGCCCCTACCAGGGGATCACAGTCTGGAGCACAGTGAATTCTGAATCTGCCGGAGATTCTGCTTCAGGTCTGGGACGGGGCCTGGGAACCTGCATTTTAACACATGTGCGCACATGCACACGACACGCACTCACACACACTCCAGCGATTCTGCTACAGTTGGTGGATCTGAGATCACGCTTTGAGAAACATCGATGTAGAATCCTTCCCAGTTATCTCGATCACTGAAATGCAAGTGAGTTTTTGGCTGGCTTATTCGGATATTGTCATTGCCTTCACTACAGATGCGTGGACAGTGAGGGCGGAAGCTTGCAGTCGGGGAGTCTAAAATCCTTAAAGGAGGTCTCTTCTTTGAGCATTCCTCCTATTGCAGGGCCTGTGGCTGGCAGTCATGCCCCGAGCCCTGTGAACTGTATTTACCAAAGGCTGGGTGTGGAGAAAACAGCCTGCCCCGTGGATCCCGGCCAGCTGCCCAGTGTGGCCCTGACCTGAGGCCCCCAAATGGCAGCACTCCCCGCCGCCTTCTCTCCCCAGAATTCACCTTGTGCTCAGATCCAGAACACACACTGCTCCATACACAGTTTCCCCAGCTACACCCAGAAGGCAGCCCGTGCCCCTGGGTTTACCCCTTTTTGGGTGAGGGTGGGAATTCTGGTTTCCTAAACACGCTGCCATGTTGCAGGCCTGAGGCTCCCGCCACCCGCCTGGGTCTCCAGAGGGAGGTGAAGGGAAGGAGGCCTCAACCTGTCCTGTGTTTACCAGCCACGGTCACAGGACCCAGGCATGGCAGGCCCAGAGCGCAGACCAGAATGCCCCCTCAGGGCGTGGGGGGCCAGGGTATCATTTTGTCCCATTCTCAATTCCTCGAAGCCTGGTGGCTTCAGCTAATTTGTAGGGATGCCAAATGGCATTACACTCCAGATCTGGAGGCTTGAAGAGTTCAGAGAAACTAGGACAGTGAGGGCCAGCCAGGCTGCGAGAGAGGGGCACGTCTCCATGGCAACCATTCCACACAGCGCGGTGCACGAGGAAGCAGAGGGCGCTGCAGGCCAGCCTGGCCCAGGGTGGCGGGCGCTGCCCGCGGCCGGCTGCCTGGACACTCACCTTTGTACTGCGGGGTGAAGCGCTTCATGGCCAGCGGCAGGGTCTCATAGAACCTCTGCTCCTGGGAGATGAGGGGCTTGCACACAGTGTGCTCATCGTACTTCATCACGCTCAGGTGCCCCCCGACCTGGTGCAGGAAGGGCTCCAGCTGCACGCCCATCCTGGTGTCCCCAGCATCCGAGCTGTCCTGGACCACCATGCTGTGCTCGGAGAGTGGGCGCCCCGCGAGTCCCCAGGAGGAAGGCCCGAGGTGGAAGTTGCAGCTGTGGACAGGATGTGGGGCTGTCAGCAGGCCTCAGCTTTCTCCTCCTTGGCCTCTGTCACTGTCATAGCACAGTCGTCCTCCCATCTGGGGCTCTCAGCGGGGGTCCCTGGAAAGCGGAACAGGGAAGTGGAAATGACATGAGGGAGATGGCGAGCCAGGGCCGCATCCAGAAGCACCCACAGTCCCCAGCCACGATGCACCGGTGTTTAAACAAGACTGTAAATAGGATCGATTACTTCTGGAATAATCTGTTGCCCAAAACTGGGGGCGGTGGTTGCCTGGGAGCAGGGCTAAGAGGGCGACTTCTCACTAAATACTCTTTTGTACCTTTTGGATTTAAATATTAAAACATTTAAAAAAATCAAATGATGCACACAACTGTAAGCTCTCAGAGTGCAGAACCTGTGTCTTAACTTCTCATGTCGTGTTACTTGCATTCCTCTGGAGACACTGATCCAGGCTCAAGGAGAGGGCAGAGTCCCTGCTGCTGGGACACTCAGCATCTTGCAGGGGCTCAGGGGGAACAAGAATGCTTCATTTTTGTGCAGCATAGCTGTGCACCGTCGAACTGCATCATGGCTCCACAACAAAATCGCTGTGTGACCTTGGGAAGTTACTAAACCTCTCTGGACCTCAGTTTCCTCATCTGTAGAATGGGATAATAATGATACCTCCCTCATGCAGTTAGGGACAGAATTGAGATAAAGGTCATGAAAAGGTTACCCCAGGCCCAGAGCTAAGTGCTCAACAAATGTGATTTATCGTTATTTCCAGGATTATTGCCATGGAGTGGTAGTTGCCCCACAGCTCTGGGTTATCGGGAAGGCAGGCCTTTTCACGGTGACTTTGCAGATGAGGAGAGTGGGCCTGAACTGCCTTCCTGAGGCCCTTGGGGGCTGCTTGTCTCTCCTTCGTCCTGCACCCTCCCTGAGGGTGGGCTTGCTGGACCGCAGGCTGAGGCTGGGGCGCTGGGCTGGAGCACAGCCCCTAAAGAAGTCCTGACTTTGTCTCAGGAGAGTGCCAAGGAGACCCTGCAAGAGGAGGCCCTGCTGGCTGTGTTCATCCTGTCCCAGAGGACATTCCCGCAGCGACACCCGTCACCACCACGTTATTAATACTCTCCTCTGCTGGACTCCCAGCCGAGGATGTGACCAGGCTGGGCAGTGCGGGGAGCGAGGAACCCTCTAAACGACCTTCAGTGCAGACCATGGGCATGGCTGGCTGCACGCACAGCAGTGCCTGTCCCTGTGTTCAGGACCCCGGCTCAGAGAGCTCCTGCTGCACACCCCTCAACCCCATCCCGGGCCTCCAGTGCCTGGTGGCATTGAAGGCGGCAGCCCAGCCCATTCGTTCCCCCACAGGGCCTCTCCCACCTTGGCCCCTGTTCCGCAGGCCTCAGGGTGCCCCTTTGGGAAGGGGAGGGTGCTGCCCTGCATGTGTGTTTGCTTTGCCCCGCACAGGGTGGGCCTTCTGAGGGCTGCCTGCAGTGCTGGAGCGCACCTGGGAGGTTGGAGCTGCTGGGTGAGGTGTCGGTGGCGAGGGGTCTGTGCCTGAGACAGCAGCCTAGCCTTTCCCGGCTCCGCTCTACGACCGCACAGAGGTGAGCCCTGCTCGGGAGTCTGTCCCAGGAGCTGAGAAGGGGAGTTGGTGGGAGGCACACAGATACCAAGGTAAACCAGAAATGAGTCCAGGGACGAGCGAATATCTTCAGTCCGTTAACCCTTTGGTTAGAGAGGAAAACCAAGGCCGACCAACCCCTCTCCTCTCGCTGGGCTTGCGTGTACGTTGGCCTTTGCCAGCTGACCTGTCCCCAGGGGAGGAAGGCAGATGTGCTTCTGGTAGCCAGAGGGACAGCCAGGTTATAAATTCATTTATAGCCACTCCTGGAAGGAGCTCAAGCCTGTCCCTCACACTTGTCTCCCCAGGGCCCAGCCCAGCACCAACCAGGCCTGACCTTGCCGAGTGAGCCCAGCTCTGCCGACACGTCCAGGAGGTGTCCCAGGCAAGCCATCACGCTGCCGCGCTGGGCAGTCCACTGCCCTTCTTCCCCCAAACCCGTCTCCCCGTGGAGCTTCTGAGGACATGGATGGCACCTCACAGTGGAGCATGGGAGGAAATAACGACACTAAGTGGTAACACATTGTGCTCGCTCTGCTCTGGGCAGGGTGCTGTGTGCCGTGTCTAGATCAGCCCATCAGAGCCTCACAGCTTCCCCTGAGGCAGTGGCATCAGCCCTTTTTACAGATAGGGAAAATGAGGCATGGAGACATTAAGTTACTTGCCTATGTGAACCCAGCCAGTATGGGGAGAACAGGGATTTGAACGCAGGCACGCTAGCCACAGAGCGCGCTTACCCGCCATGCTGCAGGCTGTGTTTATCTGCTTTTGAAAGTCAGGAAAATGAGCCACAAGGAAGCTGGGACTTGGCCAAAGTCACCTGCAAGTCACTGGCTGTGCTGGGACAGGACCCAGGGTTTCTTGTCCCCCAGGCCTGGTCTCTCCTACCCTGGGCTGCCCTCCCCCAAACCGATGACAGTAAGTGCATGTCCTACTGGCGGGTGGGCTCCCCACCTCTGCAGAAACCATCACGAGGGGTCTGGGAGGCCCACCTAGAGCTGGGGCTTTCTGGCTGGGGATGTCAGCCAGGCCCAGGAGGCACTGTCATTTCCAGTTGTCCTCAGCACAGAGCGAGCCAGGAAGACCTGGGCCTCCAAGACAGCCCCCAGCGCAGCAACGCAAACTCTGCTGCCCCTGCACTTAGGGTGGGTCGGTAGCGATGGGGTGTCTGCTGGGTAGTCAGCCTACACTTGTCAAAAAGCTGGACTTGACGGCTGGAGAAACTGAGGCCCATCTCCTCAAGGGTCATCTTAGGGTGTAGATTAGGTGACGTCTGAGGGTCCTGCTCCTGAGCCGAATGGTCTGTGGTTCTGACACGGGTTGATGGGAAGGGGCGCAGGGAGGATAGGTGGGCAGCCCTTCAGCACCTGGAGCTCCTGCCTGAGGTGGGCAGGCGGGCCTTGCTGCTGCTCAGGGAGGCACCTTGTGGTGCCCTCCTTGGATCCTGTCTGCGCTGTCTTCTTGCGCAGCCTCCACTCTGTGGGACTGAGTGAGGGAAGGCCTCCCTTCTTCCTGTTCCTCCCTCGGAAGTCCCAAATAAATTCTTCAAGTTGACAGACCTTTCTCAGCCCAGACCTTCCTTTTGCCAAATGTAGGCACTTCTGTCACTAGCTGGGCCGTGGCCTTTGATCAATGCCTCTGGGCCCTGTTCTGTTTCCTAAGAGCACTGGGCAAGGAGTCAGGAGCCCAGGTCTGTTCCAGGCGTTCCCACCAGCTTGCTGAAGCCCCAGGATGAACTGGGTAACTGCTCTGAGTCTTGGTTCCCCGCCCACTGCCACAGGCCTGTCATGATGCTCAGATGACAAAATGCACAGCCCTCCTTTGTGGCGTCCTCTTGCCCAGCATCTGACCACTCGAGGTCCGTCACCACGTGGGCTGTTCTCAGGACTGACTCAGCGTGGGCGCTGGGAAGGCAGGTGGTGCGCTCGCTGGAGACAGGCCCTCACGCCCTCTGACACACTTGCTGAACACTCTGGGCTCCCTTTAGTGCTTCCAAGGGGGACAAATGTCCCTCTCTCCATCACACGCCTCCTCCCACAGCCCCACAGCCCAGACCCCTCACTCAGCCTCCTTCCCCACTGTTCCTCGAGGAGGGGCAGAAGGGAGTAAGGATGGGGGGGGTGGGGACGGGAAGAGGGCGAGATGCCCCCAGCCAGAAGAGCTCAGCCTAAAGCTCCCCCTCCCCCAGGAACGGTGGACAAATGGCCTCAGGTCCCTGTGTCCTCCTGCCCTGTCATTGGGGCATGTTCTGAATGAAATAACTCTGGGCCTCACTCCAGGAGACTCAGGGCTAACTTCTCTAATGCAGCTCAGCCATTGGCCATCAAGCTGGTTGTTAAAGGAGGCCCTGGGTTGCCCGTGTCAGTGTAAACCCTGCTCCACAGCCCTGTGGGGCCTGAGTGACAGCCAGGCTGCCGCTGGGTTGCAAGACATTCCCCAGTCTGAAAGGAGGGTTACAGACAGCAGGGCCTGCGGTTGCATTGGCTTCCAGAGTGGGGACAGATGACAATACCAGTGATGCCAGCTACAATGACAGATGCCACCCATCGAGCCGAGGTGGATGAGGGCATTGTGGCTCGTCACTGCCAGTCAGCACATTTTATTTCCTGAGAGTCTGTGGGTATGTTACCGCTACCCACGTGCTAAACCCGAGCTCATGAGCAAGTACAGAAGCTGGGCCTCTGAGAAGCCGCCACTCCCATCTCAGGGAAGGTGGCCGGTGAAGCCACCAGTCAGACTTGGACTAGATGAGTCACGGACTATATCTTATCAAAGGCTGCCAGCTCCTTAGATGTGGAAATGGGGTGGCTGGCTGTGGTCATGGTCAGGGCTGTTCCCTGATATTCTGGTTCTCCCTGCGGGAACACTGTACAGCTGCACTTCCCCTGCCCTCTGAAGCAAGTGTGGCCACGTGCTGTGCTTTGGCCACCATGATGTGGCTGGGAGTGACATGTCACCTCCGGGTGGGAGCTGTAAGGGCGGGCCCTCCCCACGTTCTCCTTCCCTGGCCATGGTGGTCTTGGACACACAGTGGCTCCCTGAGTGACTGTGCATGTTGGATATGCAGCGTGACAGAGAAGTAAATCTCTGCTATGTCAGGCCACCAAGCTTGGGGTGGTTTGTTACGCAGCACAGCCCAGTCCATCCTGACTCATTCACCAGCTCGCAGCCAAGTGCCAGGGTGGAGCCTTTAAGTTGAAAGCGACCTCACTTGACTCGGGCGCTCAGATATTTCATTGCACAGATATAGCTACACAGTAATAGCCACTCCTGTGAAGCATCTATGTGGACCACTGACTTGATAATCACCATCTCTGTTTCTCAAGGGAATAATTTTCAGGTGGAGAAAAGTTGAAGTGCTTTCTCAGGGTCCAGAGCGAGTGAGCACTAGAGCTGGGGGTCGGCTGCCGTGAGCCTGTCTCATTCTAAGGCCCATGCCTGTTCCGGCCCCTGGCAGTCTCCCTCTGGGAGTCCTGAGGTCTCCCTCTCCTGAACCAAGGCAGGCTCTCAGGGCCAGGTCCTGTCCAACGCACTCTCCACGCTGTGCGCCTCAACGACTGACATCAGAAACAGGAGCCTTCCAGGAGGTTGCACCCGGCAGGGCAGTGAGGACGCCACAGCTGGGGGCAGCGTGCTGCCAGTGGACAGCCTTCGCCAAGGCGTCTAGCGGTGCCGTGGGTGCGGGCCCCCACCCGTGGGCTGCTCGTGACCTTACCCAGAGCCACACCACCACAAGCATTATCTGCAGGCTAGACAAGTGACGCCCATAGAGCCCGATAATTTCTCAAATGTGTATGAACACTTTGGTGATTACCAAAATACAAATTCATTTAAAGGCATTATTAAGTTCCTGGTAGTTTTTATCATCATCTATTTTCTCAATCAACAGATACTAAAAGTATAATGAGTACCACAGGGGAGCTCCTAGGGAAAAAAATTATGCTGAAAAATGAGTCCTAGCTGAAAAGGTTGGGAGTGAGACTGGTGTTGGCTGAGATGGGAGTGTAAGGGGTCCAGGAAGGAGTTTGGCAGGGGAAAGGAGCCTGCTCAGCCTGGGGGGGCGGGCCTGTTTCGGGGAGTGTGTGCAGGGAGCAATAGGAAAGTACAAGGACGGGCTGGAGATGAAGATGGGGACCAGAGGGGAGGCTGTGTGGGGAGGAAGAGGCGGGATGCTGCGGTGGGCCTGGCCCAGTTTCATGCCCTCCAGCCTGTGCCATGGGCATCTGCAATGGAGGGGTGGAGACAGGGCAGGCCACGTGGACTGGAGGTGCCCGTCTGGTCCCTGCTGGAGGGGGTCACCCGAGATCACCCAGGTGTGGAAGCCCTTGGGACCACATCCCAGTAAATCTGAGAAAGGGGCATTCTGGGGAGGAGATCATTAAGAAGCAGCTTGTAGTGAAGAAGACTGCCATATAAAGTGTGTCTGGCTGCAGATTCAAAGCAGCATGGTTTATGGCCTGCCCTCTTACCCCGGAAGCTCGAACGTACATTCCGCAGGCTCTCGGAGCCAGAGGTTTGGTACAAGTACCATTCAATGTCTTTGTGATGCCCAAGGGAGCATTTTTTAATCTATTAGAGATGAGAGGACCCGAAAACCATTTAAAACCGCTTAGGTCGTAATGGGCAGGAGAATTTTGGAGTTTCTCACTTGGTGAAGGGTTGTGTATCATCTGGGTCCATCCAGGCTGGGAAAGCACAAGCTATTTTTCTGGGGAGAGGAAATCGCATTTTAAAATCCATTCTAGAAATGATTCAAGGGCCATAGGACCGTGTGCCCTCCATCTGCTTGGTCCCCAGCCTGGTGGGATCAATACTGAACACTGGGCGACTTGGTACATCACCTTCCCAGCTGTGCCTGAAATATGTGGCTTTCGAGAGCATCCATTTCCCAGGAAGGCTTGATTTCCAGAATCTCAGGGCAATACTTCATATTCCCTGGTTGCAGAAACTTATTTTGGGGACTGATTTTATCCTTTGAGAGAAGATTTTTTTTCTTTCAACATTTAAAACCTCCCAACGTTCCTCCAGTTTGAGGACCAAATGCGATTTTAATACAGCGATTATTAGTTTAGAAGCCCTTCAGCCACTGACAAATGTCCTTAGCAGCACCAGCAATGTTCCGAGCTGGCCGTCAGGGTGGGAGACGCATGGGGCAAAGATGACTCCAGAAGCCGAGTGCCACTGGAAAGGCCGCTCTGGGGGAGGCGGAGGCTGGCAGGCTTCTCCTCCCCACCCCTAACGTGTCCTGACCTCAAGACAGCACCACGGGTCCTTGGGGACCCTGGCCTGGGTAGGACCCGCTCCATCAGCCCCTCCCAGGCACGCCCCCTTGAAGCTGCACCCAGGGTCTGCACATTTTCCAACCTCTGACACTCTCCCCTACACCTCCCTGCCTTTCTCTAGGTAATATGACCAGCCACCTGCCTTACGTAAGAGCCCTGTGAGCCGGAGAAGATGTTTCCGGTGGTTAGCATAGCAATTTCATGGCTGCAAGAAGCAGCGGCTTTTTAAGGTTAAAATACAATAACAGGTGGAGCGTGCATATGTGTGTGTGTGCGCGTAGATGAGGGTGTGAGCGTGTGGGGGTGTGTGTGTGTGAGTGTGGCCGTGGTCTTCAGGCCTCTGAGCTGACCCGGCCAACTCTCAACGTGCGAGCCTGTCCCCAGCAGAGGGCAGCAGCGGACGAGCCAGAATCGCCCAGAGCCGGAGCCACCCCGGCCAAACTCTGCAGCCAGCAAGCACCTTGGCCCAGCAACCAGGGGACACATTCCTGAACTGCCGTGGGCTTGCCAGGCCTGTCCTGTCCTCAGAGAGCCCAGACGGCGGCTGGAAGGCCCCTGCCTTTCCTTCCCAGGGGCTGTTTTTAGAGAGCTCAGAAGTTGTCATGGGGTGGATGTCCCCCATGCTCCCTTCTCCCCTGTCACCTCTGCTTTTTCTAAAGCTTGTCTGGAGGGGAGCTTCCTGCCCTGGATGAGGCATGTTCTGAGGAGCCGGGTGCCTGCTCCATTCACAGGGGAAGGGACCCCACACCCGGGGGCAAGGATGCCCTGTAGGAGGTAGGGCGAGGGCGCTGGAGAGCACGTCTGAGGTGAGGGAGCGGGGTCTTCCACTTCTCCACTCCAGGGGTGCCTCCTTCCCCAGGGCAGTGGACCCCACACCCCTTCAGCTGCCGGCCGGGCCAGCCCACTGATGAGGAGAAGTAGCCGGCATGAGGTGAGGGGCTGCCAAAGTGGCACAGCGTGCCTGATCCTCTCACCTCTCACCTCCCAGCCAGTTCTCTGAACAACCAGGTGATCAGTGCTCATCAATTTGGTTGCCGTTCCTCGCAGGCACTGGTGACCAGGATAACAACCACACAGAAAGGATTTATTCCGGTGCCCCGCTCAGAGCAGGAGAATGCAGGGGCACGCTGCTGGCCTCGGGGTGGGCTCACCTGACCTACCGTCCCCGGATGCCCCAGGCAGAGCACAGGGAGGGTCCCAGAGGCCACAGGCCCTTTGCAGAGGAGGAGTTTCTTAGATCACTATAAAGAGCTGGCTCTGGGGGGGAACACGGCACAGGGGGGACCAGGAGACCTGGTTCTGCCTCAGACTCCTTGTCCCTTCCTCTCCAGGCCTCAGTTTCCCTGTCTGTACTGAGAGCTGTCTGACCCAGCCATGTTCCTACCCTCCTATGCGACAACTGGCCCTTTGATTCAGCAAGTTGATGTGGTCGGGGTGGGGGGGGGAGGGGGATTTCGGGGTGGGGGCGCGGGCAGAGATGCATCCAGATTGAAAGGCCCTTAGAAGACATACTGACCCGAAGCAACTTGACTGGATCCTGGTCTAAACAAAGCATCAAAAACACTGAGGGGGCAGTTGGGGAAATGTGACCATGGACTGGATGTGGATGTTCTTGGGGAGTCGTCAATTTTGTCGGTGGGACAATGGCTTTGGGGCTACGTCAGAACCTGTACTGAGGTACTATGGGGCGAATGCTGTGATGTCCACAAATTACTTCAAAATACTTCAGCCTTAGAGGACTCGATGAAGTAAACACGGCAAAACTCAATCAACTGTAAATCCAGGTGCCGTCAGGACATGCAGCTGTTTGTGATCTCGTTCCCTGTTTTTTCCTGTAGGCTTAACGTTTTTTCATGGTAAAAAGTAAACGTAGCTTTTAAAAACTCTAGAAGCTTGGGTCCTGCCCTGTGGGGTCTGAGTGTCTGGGCATGGGGCCTGGCCTAGATGTTTCTAAGGCCCCGGCGATGCTGAGGACCACGGCGGGCTCAGGTTCGGGTCTCGGGTTCACTGGAGGGCCCCCAAAGACTGCCACTGCTCAGGGCAGGGGGCCCCTGGCGGTGACATGCCTCCAATGCCCATGGTCCACTATCGCCCACTCCATGGGGGTGCCCTGCGCTCGGGCCTGGGCCTCTGCCCACAGGCGCTGATGTCATCCCAGCCCCGTGGCCTCACGGGGGCAGGAGGGTGGGGCTGCTGGGACAGGACACGCCGTTCCTGGGGCCCAGGGGGTGCTGCTCACTTCCCCTGAGAGGCTGCTGTGTTAACGGTTAAACCCAGCATGGAGTGGGGACCATTGGCACCAACCCCTGCACCTGCCCACAGTGTCCTCTGCACCCCAGCTCAGCCCAGGCCTCTGCCTTCACGCAGGGCCACAGTTAGAGACCCCAGAACAGCTTAGGAAGGGGAGGGCTGGGGTTACTCAGGGGAAGAGGGAGAGAGGTGGGAGAGGAGCAAACGCCAGAATTTCTACACTGCTGAATTGTCCCAACACCCCGCCCCCCCCCAGCCATACACACAGACATGCACAGACACTGGCACCTCCACAGGGTGGACCCCTGGTCAGCAGGTCCTGGATGGAGACGAGGCCCACCCCTCAGTCCCCTGTGGCATGAACAGGCCCTGTGGCCGTGAGACCCTCTCTGCCCTCCCTCAGGCGCCATCCAGGGCTCTGCAAGGCCCTCCTGCCCACCCCCATCCCCCAAGGCAGCACTCACCAGGGCCTCTTCCTGGAGGGGTCGTGGGAAGCGTGTGGGAGGGAGGGCTCCAGCAGAAAGTGATCTTCTCTGTCAGTGCCCACCGACCGCGGGCATGGGGCAAAGGCCCTTCCCAGTGTCCAGCGTAGAGAAGTCCCTGTCCACTGTCACACTGGTGGAGCCGTCTGCCCAGACCCAGGTCTGCCCGGAGGGCTCAGCTGCCAGTGGCCTGGGGAGGGGAGGTCACCTGACCCTCGGGAACGGCTGGCGTGTCCAGCTGTCAGTGGTGTTGGGCTGCAATGGGGCAGGGCCAGAGGGCTGGTGGTGGGGAGCAGGAGAGGAAGAGGAGGAGTGGTCTGCTTCAGCTCAGCAGCTGGAGGGATGGCAGACCCAGCGCACCAAGGGCCAATCGCCCAAGGCCCCTGGTCATTTTTTGATTCCTTGTTCACAGGGTAATGCTAGGGTGGGGGGTCATGTTCTCTCTTCCCCTGGTCCCCCTGCCCCCACCCCATTCCCCAGAAGCTCATTGCTGGTCTGCTCCAAGCTGTGGCTGCCTGACAGAAGGAAAATCATTCAGCAAGACCTTCAGTCAGTCAATAGTTAATCAGCTTGAGGACTGTCAGTCAATCAACAGTCAATCAGCTTGAGGACAGTCAGTCAATCAAGAATTTTTTGAGGCCCTTGTGTGTGCTGAGCTCTCTGCTAGGCTGACCCAGGAACCTGCCAGACCAGTGCCTGTTGTCAGGGGATTACAGTGGGGGTGGGGGTTGGGTTCAGCAAGTCAAAGGGCAGTTCCAGTGTAAGGGTTTGGTGGGAAAACATGGGGCTTAGGGGGGCCCTTCACCCAGCCTGGGGCGGGGAGCAGGGAAGGCATCCTAGAGGAAGTGATCAATGGAGACCTGAAGGAGGAATAGGGTCATTCAGCCTGGGTTGGGGGGAGGGTGGTAAGAAGAATGGTCTGTCTAAGGGAAAAGCACATGCAAAGGCCCAGAGACAGCAGGGAGGAGGGGTGGTCAGGGAGGCAGAGGTGCTCAGAGTGGTGGCGCATGCAGGGAGTGGGGAGTGATGATGGATGAGGCTGGGGGAAGGCGGGCCTCACAAGCCTCTATCCTTAGCTTCTCTGAAGGAACTAAAGGGCTTTATGCGAGGAAGGGCCAGGCTCAGGCTTGTGTTTAGAGTGCTTGCTCTGCTTTGAGAAGAGCCTACTGGAGAGGAGTGGATCAAAGGCTGGAAGGTGGGCTATGAGGACCCCAAGTGCTGTCCCCTAGGTGAGTCCTAGCCCAGGGGGAGAGGGGCAGTGGGGGAAGGGAGCAGACAAGTTCATGAGATGTTGAGGGGGCTGGCTTGACAAGGTCTGGTAATGCGTGGATGGGGAGAGATGGGGTGGGGGCAAAGGTCGGGGGTTCATCAAGGGACAGGCTTCAGGTCTGAGCGACCCTGGGGCAAGTACAAGGAAGGTCTGAAGTCTGCCCCTCAGGTGACTCAAGCTACCCTGGACTTGTGGCCGCAGTTCCCCTGGGCACTGGGCACCCCACCTGCCCTGGGCCCCAGCCTTTCCCTCCCTGGGCTTCTCCACGCAGGGGCGAGCGGCCCCCAGAGCCTCAGCAGCCTTGGGGCTCAGCCTCCTCCTGGACCTGAGGCCGGGCAGACAACCCCCCACCCAACCTGGTCCAGCCTCTCTCTGGTTCTGGGCCACATCCCCATGTCCCTGCTTCCCCCAGGTTCCCCCAGACCATTGCTGCAGCCCTGAGCCATGACGGTGTTTCCGTCCGCCGCTCTGTGCCTTTCTGTGTGTCCCTGGAGAACTCATTCCGTGCAGATGGCCTCTCTTCCCTCCCTACCATCACGGAGCAGATGAGCCCTGGTTTTGACAGGCGATATGGGAATGGGCCAGGACTAGAACCCAGGTCTCCCGGCCCCCGTCCCACAGGTCCCCTCAGCCATTGTGCGCTCTCCCTCGGCACCCACTCTGGGGCCTGGCATAGCACAAGCTGCTCAACAGTGTGTCAGCAGCAAAAGAAGAAGGCGTCACAGGAAGGTCACATCAGGTCTGGGGACAGCCTGCCCAGCTGCCCTTCCTGTGGCTGGCCTCCCCACCCCACCCCACCCCAGAGTCCTCCCCACATGCAGACAGGAATTCCCTGAGGCCGGGTCTAAAGTGGATTCCATGCATGACCTGCTTGCTTGCTCCCTGGCCCGAGGCCTCTGATCGCATTTCAGCAGGGAAAGGAGATGGTCCAGCCGCCCCACCTGCACCCCTCGTGCTCCCTCCCTCTCATGGCTCAGTTCTGTGTCGGCTCCGGTTACCTGGTCCCGGAAAAGAGAATGTGATCTCCTTTCCCCCAGCCCTCCCCTACCTCTCATTCCCGCCTGGACTCAGATCCCTGTTCTGGGAACCCTGGAGCCCCCACAGGGCTGAGCCCGGAGGCCCTCAGGGGTGCAGAGGGAAGGGATCTCCCACCTGAGCTGTTGGCAGTGGCTGAGGCTGGGCGAGCCCCCGGCCTAGGTGGGGGAGGGGGGGTCAGTCCACATTTCAGTACCTGGTTTCTGTTTTTGTTTTGTTCTTATAAAGAGCAAAGTTCCATCCCAAATTCTTCATCATCCATTTATTTAACATTGTTGAGCCCCTAATATGTGATCCAAGACACATGGCTGGGAGCCAAACCCACAGGGCCTGCCGCCATGGAGCCAGGGATCTGGTGCTTTCTGTTACGCAATCAAACAGGCCACTTTATTCCTGTTTCACGGCCCTGGCCAAGTTCTCTCCATGGTCATTTTTCTGAAGCTCAGCTTCGCTTGCAAGACGCCTGCTGCTCAGACTTTTTCTACAGCTGCGGCTGTGACCCTCCCCTGCCCCACAACAGCTCCCCACGCCCCTCTGGCCCTGGGTCAGCCTCTCCTCCTGGGAATCAGCCCCCACCAGCTTGGCTCTTCTTCGGACAGAGCGTTCCAGGCCAGCTCTCAGATGCCACCACTTGGAAGCACACGCCTGGGTCTCAGAAGCACACACTGACTATCTGGGGACGGTCCCCTCAAGGCAAAGGGGTGGGCGAGTCCTTCCCTGCCCTCACCCCTCGCCTCTCCCCCCACCCTCCCTGGACCATTTGGAACTGTCCCCTTCACTGCTGCCTTCCATGGAAGTCCATCCATCATCACATTCTGTGGATTTCACATCCCAGACTGGTCCCCCTTTCTCCACCTCCATGGCCACCACCCTGGCCCACCGCCCTGCCATCTTCCCACGGATGACTCCAGTGCCTCCTGATGGTGCCCTCCCTTTTCCTCACGTCCCACTCCTGCCATCCATTCGCCCAGAGCAGTGTTTCGAAACAATTCGGGTCATGTCACTTACCTGCTTAATACTCTTCAGGGGCTCCCTGTCTTTGGAATGAAGTCCAAAGTCTCCCCAGGGGCCAGCCCCTGCCCCCCTCCCCAGCCCCATCTCACGGGGCATCCCCCTTGTCTTCTGTGGTCTAGCCACACCTTGTACGGGGCCTTTGCACCTGCTATCCCTTCTACCTGGGATGCCCTTCCCTCACCTCTTCACCTGGCTAACTCCTCTTCACCCTTCAGATGCCAGCTCAAGTGTCACCCCCTCCGAGAAGCCCTCCCTGACCACTCTGACACGGGCCTTCCTTTAGAAGCATTGATCCCAGACATAGTTGCCCTTTTACCTGTATGGTTATTTGCTCCCTGCATGTTTCCCTTCCTTGAGGACGGTGACTTGGCTCATTTTACTCAACACTGTGTCACAGCATGTAGTACAGCGCCAGCCTCCCAGGAGACATTTGGTGCATGAGTGAATGAATGAATGAATGAACTCATTCTGAATCTCTGGCTTCCCCTCCCAGCCTCTCGATGCTCTGGCTTTCACAGCTGCGGGTGTGTGGAGTCAGGAGCCGCCCACAGCTGGTGTCTGGGAGTTTCCTGGCCTCGGGTGTGGAGGCCTCGGCCTTGTCACCTTGGCCCTGTGACATCCTCCCCTGCCCCCACTGTAGAGACATCCACCCTTTGTGGTCCAGGACATGTCATCGCCCCCTTACCATGGCATAAACGACATGGCTGCTGTGGTGCTGCCCACCTGTCCCCCGGTTCCAGCAAACCCCTCTGCCCAGCGCTGGGCCCCCTCTTGTGCACCCCAGCTTGGCACACTTCTCGCCCCTTCCTAACTCTTCCCCTCCCCGCGCCACGTGGGGCCTCCAAGACAAGTGTGCAGACTACCCCTGTCTCCCCAACCCCTCCGTGCCAAGAGCCCCTTTCACAGGCCGGGTCGCCGAGGCTCAGAGGGGAAGTGGCCTCAGTCCTGTGATTCCCTCCACATTGCTTTCTGTCTCCCTCCTTTTCCTGCTTGTCAGCTATTTCCTGTGTTGTCCTGGCTCTTTCTGTCTCTGGTTTTCCATTTCTTTTTCTCTTTTTTTTTTTTTTGAGGCAGATTAGCCCAGAGCTAACTATTGCCAATCTTCCTCTTTTTGCTGAGGAAGACTGGCCCTGAGCTAACATCCATGCCCATCTTCCTCTACTCCGTATGTGGGACGCCTACCACACCATGGCGTGCCAAGCGGTGCCATGTCCACACCCGGGATCCGAACCTACGAATCCCAGGCCACAGAGAAGCGGAACGTTTGAACTCACCTGCTGCGCCACCGGGCCGGCCTCTCTGGTTTTTCTTTCTTTCTCTCACATTCTCTTGTTAACTTTTCTGTTTCTGCCAATATTTCCCGTTCTCATTCTGCTGCATTCAGGCTGTGTGAGTGTGGCGTGAATGTGCATGCGTGTGTGTGCATGCATGTGGGTGCAGGTCAGCATCCAGGTGTGGGTGTGTGAGCGCCCCCAGGTTGGGGAGCACGTCGGGCTGAACAGGGATGTCCTAATTAGTGGGCCTTTGGGAATGGGTGCCCTGGGGAGAACGGGTGTGGGATTCTGCCCAGAGACTTGGGGACTGAGGGACGTGGCACAGGCCCTGGATGCCCCAAAGGGAATCCCGGAGCAAGGTCCCAGGGACGGAGCCCTGCACCTCCTTCGTGATTGACATGTTGATCTCACTCACCTGCCTCCCCAGTTACCCTGAGTTGTCTGGAGCCTCCCTGGGTTGTGGTGCTCTGGGCCCTCCAGGGGTTGGCCACCTCCCTCGTCAGCTGCCACCCTCTCGCTAGAAAGCCCAGGATGGAGCACGTGCTGACAGAGGTCGCCCAGCCCTTCCCAGTCAGAGGGCAGCTGGAGGCCGGTTGTCCGGTGG